TTTTTTTTTTTTGAAGTAGTTATAAGGTGTTACTAAAACTGATTTAAATTTACTTTAAAAAAAGTTTTTTGGGAGGTCTTTTTGATTGAGTAGTTGGGTTTTCAAAGGAACAAATTAGGCAAAAGTTGTTGTTGTGACCAAAAAGGGTTCTGGTTTCAACACTTATGTGATTCTATAGCAAAATTCTGACAACCGCTTATGTGTAGTTTCAATATCAGTTTTTCTTCTTTTTCATTCCAACCTTTTCTTTTCTGAAGAGTTATTATGGAACATAATGTGTTCAGCATATAAAATATTCTCGACTTCACTGCTTTACGCAGCACAGAAGTGTAGAAGATGCAGTAAAGACAAAAAGCTTGAAAATATTTGTGTAACAACAACAGTTGTACAGCTTTCAAAAACTAATAAACATATCAGTGGCTGTTTAACAGTCTTCACAACAAATTTTTTTAAAAATTTGACTGTGATTTCAAATTTTTAAAATTTTTTTGCTTTATAAAAGAAAAAAAAGGTGTTACAAAGCGTAAATTAATCGCAGTCGTTTAACGAAACTGTTATCGGTTTTCCAGAAACAATCTGGTCGATGTTATCTACCATAATTTTTTTTATTCTATTTTTTTTTAGCAATTTTGTAAAAGTAATTCAACAATCGAAAATTCCTGGAATAATTTTTCACTTTTAAAAAAACACGCATTGAAGGTTTAAGTAATTTTTAACTTTCAAAAAATTTATTGTTTTGAAAAAAAAAGTTTGAAAATTTTTAAATTTAACAAAAGCCTAAAATCGCTTTAAAATCGATACCGCTTAGCAATTTATAGGAGAAAAATGTTCAAAGCTAAAAGTAGTCTATGAATAGTTACGGCTAGAAACTACTGCTAGATCTCCTCTTCTTTGTCCTCCTTTCCTCGCACCTCCGTTAATGCCAACTTTTGCGTGATCGCAGTGAAGGGAGAGATATTTTTAAATTATTACACGATATCAGTAAATGCAGCTTGTTCCTATCTTTTTTTTGATATGAAATATTTATGAACTTCATCTATAGACGTTTTCCAATCCAACTCTTTAATTCAACGATTGGATTCACTCAAAAATTCGTGTCAATGTTTCTTGTTCAAACTTTTAGCCATCCAGGATGGTAAAAACACGAGTAGATGAGTAATAGAAGCTTTTGTGGTAGTTCCAAATCCGAGGAGAGCTGAAGCATAGAAGTTCTTACAAATTATAATATCATTAGTTTAGCCACTTATAATACCATAGATAAGGTAGTCCAGAAAAGAAATTATACCGCCTTTATACTCCTCCTTCTATAGCTTTCAATTTAAAAAAAGAAAACTTATTTAAGTTTGTTTATTATACGTAGTTACTCCACTGCCTAGAAACTACTCTGTTTACTTCTTTAAACCTTGAAATTCTTTTCAGCATTATTTTTATTCAATAATGTATGAATAACCATTACTCTCTTTTTAAGTGGTGCAAAAAAAAGAATCACAGGTGCTTTAAAATGATGGTTTTTAGAAGTTCAAGACAAAAACTGCTGATTGTTTCAAAAATAAATAGTCAAAGGTCATAGAAAAACATTTACAACAGCAAAAACATAAAAAAAAACTGCTGTTTAGAAATAACGACAGGCTCGAAAAAAACTTTTGAAGCAAACATTGGACGTATAAAGCGCAGTCAACAGTTTACTTAGACGACCTTTGAAATTCTAAGCTTAAATGATCTCTACCATTTTCGTGCTGAGCAATTTTCAAGAAAAAGGTATGACCTATAAACTACAAAAATACAGTTCTGCAGTGGAATTAGACAAAAAATACAGTTTCTTATCGCCGAAAAACTTAAACGACAAAAGTTTTAAAGCGAGGAAAACTGACTGTTCTTTTCAAATTAATTCAAAAAGTTTTTTATTAGGTAAATAAGAGAAAAAAGGGTAAGGAAGTTAATTATTTAATAGCATTTGTAACAGCAGAAGTGCTAAATATTAAAAAACACATCTATTCGGGAATTTCTAATGATTAGAAATTCAAATGATAAATTGTTTAAACGATGATAAGCGGTATGATTATATAGATTGGGAATTTTCAAAAATTATAATGTTACCTTTATAATTTGAAAGTTGAGAGCTACAGTTTGTTGCTCTCAAAAAAGTAGTATTGATTTTCAAAGTTTTTTGGAAATAATATTTGTTCCAGAAAAACTCCAACTTTCTTTTAAGAAAGCACTTTAGTGGCACCATATCTTAATTATATGACGCAACCAGAGGTTCTATTGTTTTATACTATTTTTCAACATTAACAGTGCTTTAAAGAAGAAATTCTAGTGATATAATGGACTATAAAAATTAAGTCAACGAAACGGAGATGTAATTGCACATTAAAACTTGCTTTTTCGGTAAATTCAAGAAGTCAAGATTGTAAAGCGGTCTTTATGTTTGAGCAAAAAAAAAAAGCTTTTTGAGTCAAAAGAAGTTTTGATTTCTCCTTTAAATGATCATTCGGAGTTGATTCCAAAATATTAATTAGACTAAGATTTAATAGACTGCTGAAGAAACGAATATGTGCATAGTTTCTTGTTATGAAAGATAAATTTTTACGTGGTACGCTTATTCATACGTATTTGTTGGTTACAACTGTAAGAGCTGTAGCCTTCATTTCGTGCTGGATAATTTCTTCAGGTGGAATCTGCCTAAACCGTAAAAGAAAAACTAGAATACTATAATAACAATTTGTCAGATAAAACCTGATAAATTTCAGTACTTCAGTCTAAGTAAACCGTGTTTAGCGCATTTTAAAAATTTGTATATTTT